CCAGTATTCAAAATGTCACGGGTCCCTCTGGTAGAGGTAGAAATAAACTTAGGACTTATACGCAGTTTAAATCTGTTTATGAAACTGAAAAGTATGTTGAATGTTCAACTTTGTCTAGTAAATACAAGTCTGCGTTAGCTAAGTTTAGATGTGGAGTTGCCCCCCTCCGTTTAGAAACGGGGAGATATGAAAATATCCCAGAAGAACAGCGTCTATGTCCGATTTGTGAACTTGCAGTGGAAAATGAAGTTCATGTTTTATTTCATTGCCCATTGTATCAGAGTCTCAGAAATGATATTGTTAATAAAGCTATTGAGATTGATGCCTCATTTAACAATTTATGTGATCAGGATAAATTAAACTTTGTACTCTCAAATGAACATATGTTAAAAGTAAGTTCCAAAACGTGCTTTTTGATTTTAAAAGCCAGAAACAATCATTTATATAAATAGTTTAACAGACTACATTTCAGGATTAGTCATATATCCTTTTTATTTATTATAAGTATTAGTAGCGTAAATAGTGTAAAGCAAAGTTATATTATCTCATTCTATGTAGGAGATGGGGTATACATACAGATACTGACAGTTTAAGTATGTTTGTTTCACTGACAATTCTATTTTTATTTTTATGCCCCCCGCCATGTAATGGCCGGGGCATATAGTGTTACCCTGTTCCGTCATTCCGTCCTTCCGTCATTCCATCCTTCCGTCCTTCCGTCATTCTGTCATTCCGTCATCATCAGTTTCCGTTCATTATCTTAAGAACGGTTGGGCACATTCAACTCAAATTTGACATATGGATATGTCATGAGAAAATACAGGTCAAGTTCGAATTTGGTCATGGTTCGATGATTTTTGGCAGAGTTATGCCCCTTTTACTTTGAAAATAATATGAAATTTCAGTTTCCGTTCATTATCTCAAGAACGGTTGGACACATTCAACTCAAACTTGACATATGGATATGTTATGAGAAAATACAGGTCAAGTTCGAATTTGGTCATGGTTCGATGATTTTTGGCAGAGTTATGCCCCTTTTACTTTGAAAATAATATGAAATTTCAGTTTCCGTTCATTATCTCAAGAACGGTTGGACACATTCAACTCAAACTTGACATATGGATATGTTATGAGAAAATACAGGTCAAGTTCGAATTTGGTTATGGTTCGATGATTTTTGGCAGAGTTATGCCCCTTTTACTTTGAAAATAATATGAAATTTTCAGTTTCCGTTCATTATCTCCCCAACGGTACAACACCATCAACTCAAACTTGACATATTGATGCGTCAAAGGAATGCGCAGGTCAAGTTCAAATTTGGTCGTGGTTCGATGATTTTTGGCAGAGTTATGCCCCTTTTACTTTGAAAATAATATGAAATTTTCAGTTTCCGTTCATTATCTCCCTCAAGGTACAACACATTCAACTCAAACGTGACATATGGATGCGTCAATGGAATGCGCAGGTCAAGTTCAAATTTGGTCATGGTTCAATGATTTTTGGCAGAGTTATGCCCCTTTCACTTTGAAAGTAATATGAAATTTTCAGTTTCCGTTTATTATCTACCCAATGGTACAACACATTCAACTCAAATTTGACATATGGATATGTTTTTGGAATGCCCAGGTCAAGTTCAAATTTGGTCATGGTTCAATGATTTTTGGCAGAGTAATGCCCCTTTCACTTTGAAAATAATATGAAATTTACAGTTTCTGTTCATTATCTACCTAACAGTGTTACATATTCAATTTTAATTTGACATATGGATATGTCAAAGGAATGGGCAGGTCAAGTTGGAATTTGGTCATGGTTTGATGGTTTTTTGGCAGAGTTATGTCCCTTTCACTTTGAAAATAATATAGATACATCTTAGGAATAAGCAGTTTAAGTTTGAATTTGGTCATGGTTCAATGATTTTAGACAAACTTATCTTTCCTGAATGTTGGAAAAATTTTGAACTTTCAGTTTCAGCACTCATTCTTTTAGCCATTATTTTGGCTACAAATATGCAATATGCTTTTTCTAAAGGTTAAGACTGAATAATTTCAGTGCCTTGAACGTTGTATGGAAATGGTTTGTGTTAACATTGAAAAGTTTTAAGGGTTTTGAACTTAAAATGAAAAAAAAAAAAAATTAATGCACCATCTGAAATTTTGGCTGCATGCGGGGGCACCTGTGGCATGATGACACATTTCTAGTTTTAAATAAGTGTTAGTCTTTAGAACATTTCTTAATTCATAAACAAGAATGTGATGTTATGCCTGTATCTCACCTCGTGCCTGGAGTGAACAGTTGATATAATTTTAAACACATAGAAATTTTAATATAGAATATGATACATTTGTATATTTTAATTTCATAAATAAGTTTTATCGCTATGTTTTGATAATCACTACTGAACAGTTCATCCATTGTCTAAACATGAGTGTTAAACCTTTTTTTATATTGCGTGATAGTGCTTTTATTACAAAATTTAGTATTTTACAGTATAATTTCTTATGGAAGTTTTTAAGACAAGGTCAGTAGAGGTTATCAAACTTTTAGAATGTAAAAAGTCTATTATAATTTTGTAATTAAATGTCTCAAATAACTTTTTAATGACAATGTGCAATTATGTCATCCTATTGCAATTGATTTATATGATGTAAATGTTGAGAATGTGAATATACATAAATAAGGGGGGTAAATCTACAGTACATATTATACATTTCTATAATATGGACTGTGGAATTATCCCTTTTAGTATAAGCTATAACAAGTCTCTTGTAATTCTTTCGAGAATGGCTATATACAATTTTAATGTTTTAAATGTTTTATATGTATATATGTGTATAGATGAGACTATAATAAAGAATAAATAATATCACATTTAGATAAGCTAAATAAATGGCCCTATCAACAAATAATCAGGCACATTTTTTTTACTGAAATGTCACAGAATTTATACCTATAGAATATCTGGAAAAAAAAACAGCGAGGAAAATGATGCAATTAGGTAAAAACAATGGAGTTAATGAAATGTGTACATCCTTTATAAATAAATGGAAAATGTGAGAAGATACATTAGATTAATAATTTATACAAATTCGTTATTAGCTTTAAGTTATTCACTAACATTTAAATTCCCTATTGATTTGCTCATTTGAAAAACAGTTTTTCTGTGTGTCAATCTAGGTTTACAGGCGGACGGGGTCCATTTACAATGAGTTTTCCAGCCAAAAAATTTAATCATTGTATTCTTAATTAATATCAAGGATTGTCAATGCAGTTCATTCCTATCAAATGAAAGAAAATTATGTTTTGGTTACTTTTTCTAGAAAAAAAAAGAAGTTTAAAACAGTCAGCAATTTATAACAGACATTTTTCTTAGAGTTAAAAGGATATAAAAAAGTTACTATGTAATCATTTGTCTCTGCATGCCCCACATGTATTATCTATGTAATAAATCAATTAATTGACTTCCTCACATTTAGAGACACCTGACCTCGCTTAATTGTTTTTTACGTTGGCATTGTTTTGCTAACCTAGATATTTTACAATTCAGAGTGCAAATCACACCTCTAACTCCTCCCTAATATAATGCATTATTGAATTTTGTTAGACTGGTTAGACGACAGATTAAGTAAATTTTATTTAGTTAAAAGTTAGACTTAGCAGAAATTTGAAAAATACTACAATGTGATTGGACAAAAAAATAATGTTGATCATTAAATGGAATTTCTCCGCCATATCCGCAGAGGGTTAAAAAAGCTGTTCACCAATAACTCACACGTGCCCTTTCCGCGTAAAATTACGAGTATATAATTATCTATATTTCGACTAGTTATTCATTTTTTTTCTTTGAATTTCCGTAATCCAATACCACACGGCTGTAACAAACTGCGCTAGAAGGGAGATAATTAGTAATAACTCGGAAAAGAAACCTATAAGAAGTTATCTTTCTTTGGGTTTTTTCTTTTACTTTCAATTATTCTAGATTTTTTGTGTGTTTTAAGATAGCAAATGTCTGTATTTTTTTTTATTTATTTTTTCGTTAAATGTTGAAAATGTCTGTATTTATAGGAAATTCTTAGATTGCAATATATGGAGTAATAGGCAATGACATTAAAAATAATAGCGTCTAATGCTTCTGTAGGCAGTTGTTTAAGACATCTAGAAGGTTGTCTACATCTCTATTAATTATGTATTCGTTGATTTATTTATTTTATTTTTGTATGTTATATTTGTTTTATATAAAGATCTACTTTAATCAGATAATATTAATCACATAAGTCTAGACATAATCATATATAATGAAGTTCTCATTATGTTACAGAAACCGTTGATAAGTATTCCTGCATGCGATACTGTTGTTTTGGGGTATAAAGCACAGGCACGAGTATCGGACCTGGGAAGAAAAAATATGACCAGATTGATAAAAAACCTGTGTTCATCTTAAAATTGTCAAAAAAACCCAAAAAAAATGTAAATAATGACCCCCTTTAAAAATATACTATAAGTTAACTTTTAGTCTATATTTTTTAAAAAAAGGGGGAGTCTTATTTACATATTATTTTTTGAGTAAAATATATAAAAGTTTCATCATTTTTATCTGCGTTTCCCGAGTATGTGGCATTATTATAAAACCTGTTATTAGCATTAAGTATTTTTAAAATCGCTGAAAGTTTAAAAATGTATATGATTGTTATAACTTATCATTTGATATTGTATAACAAAGCTCCTGTGGTTTTGTAGCATATTGCCAACTTGTTTACGTTTTCAATATTAAAGATATTTATCAGTTATTATTTGTTTAGCCGACACAGGGCCCCGCCAAAATATCTTCAAAGATCAATAAACGCCTAGTATTTGTGGACACCACTCGCGCCTAGAGGTACGCAAAACGCTCACGTGACAATACATTTACTCCATTATCAAGTTAGATTTACCGATAAGCGGAGGTTGTCTTTTCAGGTCACTCTGGCAAATAATTTCTCGGAAAAATGGATCCGTTATTTTTGGGCTAATTTTAGGACTTATTTCCTGTCTTATTGCAGGTAAGTTTTTATATTAAAAAGTTATTTAGAGATGTTACAACGTACTTTCATAACTTTTAAAACTTTGGCGACACCTGTAATCAACAGGTAAGTTACCGGTAAAAAGGGGAGGCCATTTTTGAAACTTTTACAAGGCGTCTGCCTGGATTATTGGCGCGATTTGAAAATATATTGATATATTTGTTAGATAATTAAGACCTTGCATGTAGTTGGCATTATAAAAATAAAATACAGTAATTGTTTTATGTATTTAATTTATAATGAATTATCGCTGACAAAGAATATCCTGTACACCTGTATTTCTGCATAACTTTTAAATCTTAAGGTGTATCGAATTTTGCGGCTATAAAAAGATTAAAATGTACAGGAAAACCACGTGTGCACAGAGATATTGACTAAGTTATGTAAAATTTTAGAAAATTTGATATGCCATTAAAATATTTAGCTAGATAATTGCCTTATTTGGAAATTCCATAAAGTTTTGTTAAAAATTTATTTATGAATTTTTATTGATTAAAAAGTTTATGAAATGAGAAATTGTATGGATTGCAGGAAATTGAAAGTCAGATTTGTGTTATTTTCTAATGGACCGAGTTTAAAACTTGATAATATTGTTTTTTCAGAGCTGATTTATATGTTTATTGATTTAAAAAAAAATGTAACTGACATTGCAATATTTGTTGTCATTATATAGATCACATGTAGAGCAAATTGATTTTTGCTTTAGAAAAAGCGGAAAGAAAGCTTCACACTCAATATTAAAGGTATTCGACATTTCAGGCCTCCAGGCACTACAGTACTATCTGTTTGATTTTCCCATTGTTCATTATTACTTTATACATAGAGAAAGTGTTTTATCTATCTATAATCACCCCCTATCATGCATTTAAGTAAACTGTCAAAAGTTAGTGGCCATGCACATCTCTTTCTCCTATATACCAATTGAATACCAATACCCTGGGGATAGTTTGTGTGAAATCTAATGAATCTCAAGTTGTATTTTTATTATTTAATTTAGCATCCAGAGGGTAGACATACATAATCGTATACCCTCCATGATTTTGTACTTTTATCAACATTGATTTTAAGAATAGCTGTATTTTATAGTTGTGCTAAAATAAGATTGTCTTTGGTGTGTAATTAAATTAAGATTTTCATTCATTAAATATCCATTTGGAGCACGTTTTTGTAGTTTTTTTGTTTTTATTATATATAACTTCATATATTTTTATTGGCAAAGTTAGTCATTATTTAAATAAAGATAATCTGGATCTTAAAAATCAGATTTTTTTCTTTGCATTAAGATCCGGAATCACTGCAAGCTTTATGTTCATGTTTTGAATTAAATTACAGATATTCAGTTATAATAGTTAACATTTCAACTTGAAGGCTTATATTGACATGTTAAATCGTAATAAGGCACGTTTTTAGAATTTTATAATTCTTCTAGGTGCATCAACAAAATCTAGCAAAAAAGTGTTGATTTCAGAAATTTATATTTTGATTAAATAAAAGAGAAAAATAAACACGGGAAAACCTTGTGGAAATTCATTGTTGAAATTCCTAATTTGAATTACTTTTTACTGAATACTAAAACTTTTTAAACAGCTCAAGCTTTCAAGTAAATTGTACATTTAACAATGATCAATTACTTGAAATCATATAATTTAAGTATGCCAATTAGTAGATTACTAACTTTCTTTTCTTTTACTTGGCCTTTGACTCATTAAAAAGATTTTCTCATGAAGATTTTGTTTCTATACAAGGCCATATTTTAAATGGTTCCCTATTATTACTCAAGACCGACAGAAGTCACAGATAAGAACATTCCACAAAGCACATCAACAAAGGTTAATTAACTTTCATCTGTTTATTCTAAATCATAGGTAAACATTGATTAGTAACTAAACATCTGCTCAATTTCTGTGATAAAGGTGGGCCCTTTGTCCAATTTGACAGAAACAATTTTTTTTTACCAAGGGCATTTTGATACAGAATTCTGCTTTATATCCATGGTTTATGATACAAAAAACAAAAAAGAAATGAGAATGAGAGTTATCTGGGTTGATAAAACACTTAAAACAATAGGAGAAAAAATGCAATAAAAAACAAAGAATTGTTATATATACCTATGGCTTATCAGAGATTTGCTGACAGGTCCGGTAATTATGTAAATAATGATAACCGTGCTAGACAATATCTCTGTGACCTTATCCACTAGCATTTCTTTCTCTTGGAATAAAATGTCTAGGTATGATTCATATAAGTCATCTGTTTGAAGACTTTGACATTAGAAAATTGCATTACAGACAAACCCTTTTCCTATAATTTAACCAGAGAATTAATATAGCTTCATTTAAGCTTACCTGAAGGTATTTTTTTTAAGGCTAGGCACACCTCTCTATGATTAAAACCCAATTAGGCAGAATTAAATTGTATCATTTACCACAGCATTTTAATACTATTTTCTTTAATGTAGTCCTTTGATAGATTTTGATGAATAGTTTCAATTTGAAGTTTCTTATTAAATTCATGTTTACTAGATCGATGAGGAAAGGCTTTACAAACCATAAATAATTTTAGCTGTCAGATGTGGTGTCATATAAGACTGGGCACTCAAGTAAAATGTTTTTGGTATGTTAATGCATTATCTACCTACCTGGCCGAAGTTTCAGTGAACTTTTATCCACCTATTTTAAATGATAAAGAGCTAGGGTATAAATGGTAAAAAGGTGAAGGTATTTCACCCAATAACATAGCAAACATTGGGTCTAAGTCAGTATTGTAGATAGCAAACTGGAGGTTATTCATAATCTGGTAAAGAAAACATCACAGGTTCCTTAGTCACCCAAGGAAAAAAAATAGCAATGAAAAATATAATGAATAATAAGTGATAAAAAAGATACATAGATAGCTTATAATTTACAGCTTTTCCAGTTCACCTTTGCATTGTGCAATGCATTATAGGCAATTAGTTCAGGCTGTTCATGAAACTAAGCAATTCAAGTATTTTATGTTAAAACAATACATAACCACACAATATGGTTTCCAGTGTCTATTCTAGGATTTGAAAAACGGGGAATTTTTATCGAAATGTGAGGAAATTTTTTTAAATTTTTTTCCCTTTTTTCTCTATGAAAATTTCCCCCTTTCCTTCCCCGAAAAAAGGGGGGTTCTCAAAAAAAGGGGTGAAACCCCCCCCTCGCCCCCCCCCTTTTATTGACATGGGTTTTTGTCACTGAAACCCCAAAAAAGTTCATTTTACTGGGAGGTTTGTGTTTCTTTAGCAAATTTTTATCTAAAAAACATTTTCCCGTTTTGCTCTTCCCATAAGGATTTGTTGAATAAACATGTTCTAACCCGAGCTTTAATATTAAAACTTTCCTCAAAAAGAAAGCTTTACAGTTTATAAAAGTCAAAACCCTCTTTTTAAGGTTCATAATCTTGGGGGAAAAGGGCCCCTGCTACAGCAAAGCAGAGAGATCCTTTTATTTTACAAAAAAATTTAAGGGTCAAAAACAGGAAAAGGGGGATTGCAGTTTTTCAATTAAAGTTTTTCTTGGCTTTTTTTGTGTAAAACTGGCTTGTTTTCTCCCCGTTTAGGAGGGGTTTGCTCAATTAAAGTAGAAGGGTATCTGTGACTTTTATCAAAATATTTTCGTACTTTTAATTTTTCTTTTGTATCCAAATATTAAAATACTGTCCAATTTCTTAGATTATGGGGTTTCTCTAATTTTTTGTGTTTTGTACAAACTTTTTTAAAAAGGTTTTTTTCTTTTGCCCAAATTTTTTTTTTTAAATATATTTTTCTATAAAATGTTTAAACTTAATTGTATGCCTTTCCCGTTTAAAACAAGGGTTTTGATGAAATGGTTGCAATAAATTTTTGTCCCTTGGGATTTTGTGAAAGAAAGGGGGGGACATTTTGTAATTTTATTTTTGGGGCTGCCCAAAAATGGATATAAATTTTAAAAGCGGTTTTTTTTTTTTTGTCTTTAGGCGGTTTTCTGATTTTGGGAAAAGGGTCCAAAAAAGAAAAATTTTTATCAAAAGCCCTTTTTTTACAACAGTTTTAAAAGATTTTTTAATTATGTATGGGCAGCAATCTGTTAATTAATTGAAAAACCCGATTATATTTATTCCCGGGGATGTCCTCCCCGCCCTTAAAAATTTAGGTTTATTTTCGAAATGTATTATTTTTAAAAACCCACGTTTTGGTACCCTTTTTAATTTGTTTATTCTAAGAAAAGAACTTTTTCTTATTTTTTGGAAAAAAGAATTTTTAATTTTTTAGAAAGGCTTTTACTGTGATGAAGGGTGAGGAGGAATTGTGTCTTAAAAAAGGTTAATCCAAAAACGAATTAATGTCGATGATAAACGTAGTAGCCTTTAGTAAGAAATATCTCTTGTTTTACAAAATCATTACAATACTTTTTCCAGTGATTTGAAATTTTATTGAAATGAAATTATTCTGTGTAAAGGGCATTGATTTTGTCAAATTGTAATTGCATTATTAAAAGGCTTTTTATAATGGTTAAATTGAAAATTCCCTGTTATAAGAGATTTAGTGAGTAAAACCAAAACTTGTTTGGGAAAGATAAGAAAAATGATCTTTTAATAGTTTGATATTGTGTTAAAAATTTCTACTGGTGGAGCATTGTTCTCTTCTCCTGTTGTTAGGATGAGGGTTGGGATGTTCAATGTTAGTTCTGCAATCTCAATTATATCTTCACCTGATTGTGTAATAACAGCACTTGTTATGGTTTGATTTTTGGTTTGAGCTTCAGACCAGAGTGCTAAGAGGTTGGAGTGATTGCCAATAGCATTGCTTGATCTTGAAACTGTTTATAAATAAAATCAAATGATGTTTTTTTTCTCTAAAGGATCACTAAAACTAATGGTTAATTGAAATGATAGCTATGTTTGCAGTGAAAGCCATGTTTGCAATGAGACATGTGTCTGTGTTTGTTTTAAGATTTAGAATTGTCAAATCGCTCAAA